ACAGATACACAGATTAGGACTGTAAAGTCTCTCTCTCTCTCTCTCTCTCTCTCTCTCTCTGAGAGGGTGCGTGCAGGTGGTGAGCTGAGAGCGTTAGCGTGTTTCATGTCGGTTTTTCGCAAATAATTGACAGCTAAAGTCAACGTTGTGTACGCGTTGTGGGAATGTGCACTTTGAATGTATCTGCAGCGTTTCGGAGTTTGCAGGACGGCGTGCTGCACGCCGCCATGGATTTCGGCAGGCTGACGCGGAAGCACGGCGTGAGGATCGCGCTGAGCCCCTCGTACTCGGTGGAGGACTGCAGTCTGGCCGTGGGGAAGCTGGTGGGCCACCGCAGCGTGAAGTCCGCAGCGCGCATGAACAACGCGGTGGTCATCTTCCTCGACAGTGTGGAAAAAGCGGACGCGGTGGTGGTCAGCGGGATCGCGGTGCACGGCGCGCTCGTGCCCGTTCTGCCTCTCTCCACGCCGGCGGTGAGAGTGACGGTGTCGAACGTCCCCCCGTTCATCGGGGACGAGGCTCTGGTCAAGGAGCTGTCAAAGCACGGGAAGGTGGTGTCTCCCGTAAAGAAGGTCTCTTCGGGGTGCAAGTCCCCGCTGCTGAGACACGTGGTTTCACACAAAAGGCAACTCCTCATGGTCCTCAACAACAGGACCAAGGAGCTCAACCTGATGTTTGGAGTCGAAGTGGAGGACTTTGTGTATGTGGTGTTTGCCACTTCTGACAATATGAACTGTTTCAGGTGTGGCAGGAAAGGACATCTCGCCAGGACATGTCCGGGAAAGGACTCTACAGAGGGTGCAGGAGAACGAGGTGTGGAGGATCGGGACAGTCAGGGAAGACAGGAGAAGACAGGTGGGGTACAACAGGAGGGAAAGGAGGCACAGGAAGAGACAGGTGGGGTCAAGCAGGCGGCTGAGAACGGACAGCAGGGGACTGGTGGGGTCCAGCAGGGTGGGGAGGCGAGTGATGGGGGGCAGGAAGGGACAAGTGGAGGACAACAGGTAGGGCGAATGTGTGGGGAGGGGACAAGTGAAGTTCAGCGGGAGAGTGAGGTGTGTGAGAGGGGAGAAGATGGAGGGTGTGGTGGAGTCCAGCCGGCCTGCCAGGGGGGCGACAGAGTGACTGAGGGGCTGATTGAGGCCCAACAGGTGGGCCAGGTGAGTGTGGGGGTGAATGAAGAGACAGGTGGTGTCAGACGGCTCAGCCAAGAGAGAAGGGAAGGTGTGAGTGGGGTTCAACAGGTGGTTCTGGGGGGTGAAGAAGGGCAGGAGAAGCTGGAAAAAAGTCAAGAGACACGTGCTGAGGAAATGCGGTCTGAAAGCAGCGCCGATGACATGGAGGGGGAGGAAGAGGAACGTAAAGCCCCCCTGAAGAGAAGGAAGACGAGGAGCAGCGGAGGAGCCTCTCGAGCCAAGAAAGGGTCAGAAAACAGAAGGAGCACAAGAGGGAAAGCGGGTGAACCCGGGTCCTCTGCTGACTGGGATTCCACTGACAGCGCCTCTTCTGGTGGGACAGTGACCAGCAGGTACGGGGTGGGGAGAGTGAAGCTCTTCCTGAAGGTAACAAAGAACATGAAGGGGGTAGACATGGAGGAGTATTTCTCTGACCTAGAGAAGTTCTCTCGCACTGCTCGGAACGGTGTGAGCAAAAAGGGTAGTGGGAGATACACCCAGCAGGAAGTCTTCCGGATGAGGAAGATCATCCTGAAGATAAACAGGGGAAGCGAAGGTGCTTCTGTGGACTGAGTGCGGCGTCCATCCGGTGGAGGAGGATCCTGGCCGGCTGACGTAAGAGGAGATGCTGGTGGGGAATAACTGAGGAGTGGAGCCAGCAGCCAAATCGACGGGCAGCTCAAGCTTTTGAATTTTTCAGCGTTGTCGTGTATGTGACATGTTTGTGCGTTTTAAAGAAAATAAAGGTTTTTCAAAAAATCTCTCTCTCTCTCTCTCTCTCTCTCTCTCTCTCTCACACATCCTCAGTTCTTAAGAGGTTAAGTAGTACACATGATCCAGTTTAAAAACGTATACATACTGATACTCATTTTTTACATACAATATGCTGCCACAAGAAGGAGCCAAGTAGCTTTGCATTCACCCTATTTCACCTGCATGTCTGTATTATGGGTAGAGACAATGCTTTTTCATTAGCTGGCAGGTGTCCACTAAAATCAATTATACACAACACAGCAGTTTTGTTAACACTCTGAATCCCACAACAGTTCTGCCTTTTGCATGATTAAATTAGCTGACATTCAAAGCAAAGATACTCACTCTGCCACTGGAAATATACAGTCCCTTATCTTCCAAGAAACCAATATAATGAATAAAAAATAAACATGTCTGGATACCACTTAATTTTCCAAATTTCTAAAAAGTAGTAGTGTAATTCAAGATTGGGCGGCGGGGCTTTGCCGCGACTAATTCCTACAAACATAACCTGATCTGAATGCAGAATAAGTAGGCGACGGGGCTACATTGTAGGATCAGAATATTCTATATTCCATTCATGTGCTGAGTCTTAACAATCAATCACTTAAGAACACTGGGACGCTGAGGGGTTCCCAGAGTACTGGGACCCCCGTAAGAAGTGGTCCCATGGCAGGGAGGGTGCTGTGAACAAGTTCTCGGCTACCGTCGGTTTCATAGCACAACGCTGCCCGCACCCAATGTCTGCTCCTCCGTCAGGAGTTTCCACGTATGTCTGACTACTGTTGGGCCCCAGCAGGTTGTTCTCTTGTCCCTCCCAACCCAAACGCTGGGTCTGCTGTTCATAAATCAAGGGAAGATGTCAGATTGGGAACAGCGCCCTGCCGCCACAGGTGCCTGAACAAGATGACCTTTACAGGATGACCTCCACAGCATGACCTCTAAGGACGACCCTTCATCACCATCTGCCAATGACCCAGTCAATGCAGCAAAGGCCCTTGTTGTCTGGACTGTTTAAATGACAATCTGCACGAATTGATTTTTATGTTGAATGCACAGCCCAATGTGAAAGGTAGTTGGTTACTACTTGTATAATGAAGCCAATATAATTTAGTCCATACCGTTAATTAAACATTTTCACACTTGGCTAACATTTTGGCAGATTTTATCTGCAAGACTTATTTGATTTACATCCCAAAAACAACATGTAACAAAAAAACAGACTGGTTCCTACAGGCAGCTGCAGCGCAAATCAATTTCATTGATTGCTTTAAACATTCAGAGTTTATCACTCACAGCACAGAGAGGGATGAGGGTCTAAAAACAGAAGCCCCCCCTTGGCTGGCTGGTCAAATCCCAGAGTTCCTGGCAGGATAGTTATTGGACCAGTAGAGCAGCAGCACACAACATTCAATCCAATCACCATTAAAAACAACAAGCTCAGAAATCAACGAACAAAACAAAAGAACATACAATCACGCTGGGGCCGGGATTTTGGAAGCAAATGTTCAGAGTGCACATTTTGAATTTGTTGTTATGTGTTATGAGTGAAAAGTGTGTTATTAGAGTAACTTTAAAGGGAAGACAAGACAGTAATTTTGATCTCATCATCTAACTATCAGCCAATAACGAAATTAACAGATCTCTTCCATCATGGGGGACAATAGCAATCAAACCGTGACCAGTTTTAAATAAAAGTCTGACAGCAGCTGTTAATTATATTTGCTAATGTTCACACTTTTCCCCTTATCAGAAAAAAAGGTCAAACAGCAGTCAAGCGCAATTTCCCTGGCAACAAACATCCTCACTTACCTTCATAGGCACTAACAAGGTATTGCTTTTTACTCCTCCTGTATTTCTGTACTCAACCTCTTGTTGGAAACCTGCACTCCACGTATGAGAGGAATGAAGCAACCCTCCATCAAAAGAGAGAGAAAAAAACTTTTATTGACCACTTCTCAAAGCCCCCATCCACCTTCAAAAGATGCTGAATGCTTGGGAGCTGACATGTTTGCAGCAGAGAGAAGGAGCACCTCTTTAAACAGGTATGGGTTAAAAAAAAGGAAATCATTAAAGAAGCTGAAAGTAACACCTGTAGGATATAACTTCAGATCCAGCTGTACACTATAACAAATTGCTGTAAATTTACAGTGCATTTCTAACGGTATCTTACACTACGTCATAATAACTGTAACCTACAGTTAAATTACCATCCCTTGCTTGTAAATGTCATGAATAAACAGTTAAAGCTGTCAATTTACAATAATAGCAGACTACCGTAATTCAACTGCATGTTACACATATTTTATGTGGTGGAAATACACATACATAAGTGCAGTGAATCACAATCCATCTACATCTGTAGGTTAATGTATGGAAGTCCATGTCAGCAAATGAAAAACAGGTACTGGAAGTCATTATAATGAGTATTAATATCTCATGAGATACGATGATGACTTTGACTACTATCACTACGTGTCTATGTGACTATGTGTCACTTTTATCCAAAACACCCATGGTTTGACATACTTTTATGTGGAGTAATTGGGGGTTAAGTGTCTTGCTCAGGGAAAATTCGACTTGGCACAGCCAGGATTTGAACCGCTGACGTTGCACTGCACAGCACACCCTCTCTATTGCCATTGTTTCAGTGGCTGGAAAGATTATAAATATTTGTATTATTTGTTATATTCAAAAATGAAGAAACGCCGGACGGACAGAGGTCATCACAGATGAAAAGGTTAAATCAAATGTATTTAATAAAAGAGATGGTGTTGTGGTAAAAGAACATCTCAGCTGAGGAGCCGCTGGTCTCTGCAACCAACAGGCCCCAGGTCAGTGCTTTTGACCATCCCTAGTGCCCGTTTGTTGTCTTCACCAGCGAACTCGAGAACAATGATTCCTACAGGTATTTATAACAATGCTTAGGTGTGAAAGTTAGTGTCCACACCTCTGGGAGTGGTCTTCTGGTGAGTTCAATGTAGCTCGGATTTTGAATGGCCCTTAGTCAATATCAGTTGTTTTGTCACAAACGTTAAATCAATGCTATGTTTTATTTTGAAAACAGGAAATGTAATGTAATTTGTCAGGTGACAGGAACCAGGAAGTGAATGAAGAATATGGCTCAGAACTGCTGTTTGTATTGGTAGTTTTTCAATCCAGTTGAGTCTGCCTGCATCCTATACCTTTTTGATAGCATCGTTGGTACATATTGATTTGTTTAATTGTTCATTATCATCTCAGATGATTATTTTTGTGACAATGTTTAGTTTGGATATTTTTGTGCACATGACCTATCGAGTCATTCGGGTTGGTAACTGCACTGCTATGGCTGTCAATAAAGTCCATATGACTTAATAAATAACTAGAAGTAAATCAGCATAAATATATAAAGTAGCAGTCAAAGACAATGCACTTCATTTGTATTTATTATGTCTTTTGTGTGTTTTAGTTTTACACTTTCTCTCATGTCAATAAACCTGTAGACAACAGACGATTGTCTTCAGAGTCGTGATGTCAGAAAAGAGTTCGTCTAACTGCCGAGGTGTATCGGAGCGCATATACTGAGGGCGGCATAGTAAAACGCTTTCTAGCGGGCAAGATAACGCAGCCAACTGACAGATGCTACTAACAACGTCATCACACGCAACCAGTGGATGACCATCACAGCGGTGTCTAAACAGAGGTACGTCAACAGACAACGCCATGTCCGAGAAAGCAACTTCATTAAAGATGCCGTCCCGCGCTACATGTTCTGCTACATACTCAAGTGTATCATCGACGGGGTCTGCTGCTGCAAAAGCGAGAGCGAGAGCAGAGGCAGCAAAGGCACGCATGTCCTACGCTAAAGAGGAAATGAGCCTGACGATAGAAAAAGCTAAACTAGAAGCCTCAATAGAAATGCTCAAATACAAGAAAGAGACAGCTGTAGCTGAGGCCGAAGTCCTTGAAGCTGCGGTAGAGGCAAATAGTGAAAGACAAAGTTTGATGTCAAATTTGGAATCTGCACTACGCACAGAACAATATGTGATTGACCAAGCTGAATCACTAAACACAGACGCTCAGCTGCTTGATGATGGTGTTGTCGCAAAAAGAGAGCCAAGCCAAAACTACGAGACTCATTCCATCCGACTCAAGCCAATATATTTTCCCATCATACACAAAGCCACAATGCAGCTTCTCAACCAACTCGCCTCACCTCACAGCAGCCTTACATCTACGAAGATGAGAAGGTCCACACGACACACAATGTTTGGTTTGACAACCGCAATGCCACTCCTGAGCAAGGTCTTAGACGTCAAAACGATAAAAGTCATCCTGCTCTTAAATCCTACCCCACATCTTCAAACACCAATAATGAAAACTCCAACATTAGCTACTTTGTAAGATACTTTGCTCGTCGTGAGCTTGTGGCAACAGGCCTGCTTCAATTCAACGACAGACCTCAGAACTACAGAGCCTGGAAACGTTCTTTCCAGAACGCAACTAGAGGGTTGGACCTGACACCAAGCAAGGAAATGGATCTCCTGTTTAAATGGCTCGGCAAAGAGTCATCAGAACATGTCGAGCACATAAGAGCAATACACATGAACCATCCAGCGGCAGGCTTGGCTATGATATGGGACAGACTAGAACAATCTTATGGTTCTGCGGAAGTAATAGAAGATGCTCTGTTCAAACGTATCGACGCCTTCCCAAAAATAACAAATCGAGATTATTCTAAACTAACAAAGTTGAGTGATCTTTAAAGGAACTAGAGTCAGCCAAAGATGAAGGAGACCTGTCCGGTCTCTCTTTCCTCGATACAGCAAGGACCCAATTGTACAGAAGCTCCCCTTTGGTCTGCAGGAAAAGTGGGCGTCAGTTGGGGCATCCTACAAGCAGCAATATCACGTGTCATATCCTCCCTTTGCCTTCTTTGTAAACTTTGTTAGCCATGAAGCTAGTGTCAAAAATGACCCAAGTTTCAACTTACTCAGACATGTCTCTTAGGACAGAAAAAACAATTTGGAGAGAGACAGCGAGATCCTCCTTGTGGCACTGGCACGCAGTGGCACTCAGTGGCTCTCATTGGCACAACTCGTGGCACTCAGTGGCTCTCAGTGGCACAACTCGCGTCAAGTAAGGGGCGGGCGTCTCAACGCCACTCCGAGTGGGCGGAGCCAGGCTTTCCCGAAACGGCCGTTGTTTGTGCGACAGGTTAGCTGCCGTAAAGATGTTTTTTGTACTTTTTATTTTATTTCATGTTTTTTGTATTTATTTTATTTTATTTGATACCCGACATATTCCCCACCTCTATCTCAAGTCCGACGTATTCCGCTGGGGGGGTTGGGGAGGGGGGCAATTTCCAAAAGACACCTCTGGTCCTAGGGAACCCCCAACAAAATTCGCTGACTGTGAACAACTGTGTCCAATCCACAAACCCCATACGCAAATGCTGTGCATTCAGAGAAAAGCCCATTGTAGACATTCTTAAAAGAGAACAACATCTGTTTCAAATGCTGCGCTTCATCATCACATATTGCAAGGAACTGCACATTTAATGTTCGATGTTATGAATGTAAAAGTGAAAAACACCAGACAGCGCTTCACCCTGGACCTGCACCTTGGGTTGAAGACACAGACTCGGCTCCAGAGCATGGCGGGGAGGAGGATAGCTTTCAACAACCCCATGTCGCCACCAAATGTACAGATGTCTGTGGCGGAGACATGACGGGCCGATCCCGTTCTAAAGTATCCCTCGTGAAAGTGTATCCAACCGGCCACGCTGGTAAAGCAGTGAAAATGTATGTGATTCTGGACGAACAGAGCAACAGATCACTAGTTCGTTCACAGTTCTTCGAAATCTTCAATGACCAAAGTCCAAGTGCTCCTTACTCATTGAAAACATGTGCTGGAGTAAAGAAAGCGACAGGAAGAAAGGCCAGTGGCTACATCGTGGAATCTTTGGATAAGACCCTCAGCATTCCACTACCCAGCCTCATAGAATGTGATGACATTCCAAATAACAGAGATGAGATTCCAACTCCAAATGCAGCCTTTCATCACGCACACTTAAAGTCAGTTGCACACATCATCCCAGAGATCGACCCACAGGCCCAAATTATGCTTCTCTTAGGTCGGGATATTCTCAGGGTCCATAAGGTCCGCAAACAGGTCAATGGCTCACACAACCTACCCTATGCTCAGAAGTTGGATCTGGGATGGGTCATCGTGGGCAATGTGTGTTTAGGTCGCGTTCATAAGCCACTAACACCATAGAACGGGGACCCCCCACTCTCTTTGACCCATATCCTAACATGTTCTGGGTAAAGGAAAGTTACAGTGACACCCAGGCCAGAAACCACCTCCAACCCCATTTTGTGGAGATACCAAACTGTGATGTTGACAGCCTAGGACATAACATATTCAAGCAGGCCAAAGACGACAACAACATTGCTCCGTCTATCCAGGACATCTCCTTTATGAAAATAATGAAAGATGGACTAACAAAAGATGCAAACAACAGTTGGGTAGCTCCATTACCCTTTAAATGCCCACGTCAAGGGCTCCCCAACAACAGGCCACAGGCAGTGAAACGTCTCAAGTTGCTAAGGCGCAACTTCGAAAAGAGGCCTGAAATGAGAGACCACTTTCTCATTTTCATGGACAAGATGTTCAAGAATGATCACGCTGAGCTGGCCCCTCCTCCCAGTGTGGGTGGAGAACAGTGGTACCTGCCAATATTTGGGGTGTACCATCCAAGAAAACCAAACCAAATCCGAGTAGTCTTCAATTCCAGCGCCCAGTACAACGGTGTGTCACTCAACGACGTGCTGTTGACTGGGCCTGATCTGAACAACACACTGCTCGGTGTACTGATGCGCTTTAGAAAGGAAGCAATCGCTTTTACAACGGACATAGAGCAGATGTTCTATTGTTTTTCAGTAAGGGAAGACGATAGGAACTCCCTACGTTTTCTATGGTTCCAAGATAACGACCCCTCCAAAGACATTGTGGAGTATCGAATGACGGTCCACGTCTTTGGAAATAGCCCTTCACCCGCAGTAGCGATTCATGGATTGCACCAGTCTGTTCAGTGAACTCCACATTGACCCTGACGTCCAACGTTTTGTGATGCGTGACTTCTATGTAGACGATGGGTTAAAGTCCCTACCCACAGTCGAAGCTGCAGTCAACTTTCTGAAAAAAACACAGGATATTCTCTCCAAATCCAACCTAAGACTACACAAGATCGCAGCAAACAACAAGGAAGTCATGGAGGCCTTTCCGGCTGAAGATCGTGCAAAAGACCTTAAAGACCTTGACCTCAGTGCAGATGCGCTGCCGATGCAGCATAGTCTAGGGATCAATTGGGACCTCCAGACCGACTGCTTCCAATTCAGCGTCTCCGATGAGAAGAAACCATACACTCGACGGGGTGTCTTGTCAACAATCAACAGCCTCTACGATCCTCTAGGGTTTGTAGCGCCAGTCACAATACAAGGCAAGGCTATTCTGAGAGAGCTAACAACTGAGAAAGGTGACTGGGACTTGCCTTTGCCTCGAAAAATGGAGGAATCATGGACATCGTGGAGAACATCTTTAACAGAACTGTCCCAGCTGTCTATTCCCAGAGCCTACACTACAACTTCCCCCGCAACAGCTGTCAGAAGGGAATTGTGCGTATTTTCTGACGCATCCACGAAAGCTATTGCCGCTGTGGCGTACCTATAAATAACTGACTCTGCTGGAAATAACCATGTGGGATTTGTAATGGGCAAAGCCAAGCTGGCCCCCCGTCCTGAGCAAACAATTCCGAGACTGGAACTTTGCGCAGCAGTGCTTGGAGTGGAGTTAGCAGACCTTCAGCTCGATGCTACAACCTTCCACTCAGACAGTAAGGTGGTTCTTGGCTACATTTCTAATGAAACCAGGCGCTTTTATGTGTATGTAAGTAACCGGGTATTGCGTATCCGAAGATCCTCTCGCCCAGATCAATGGCGCTATGTGTCAACAGAACAGAACCCCGCAGACCACGCTATACGTGCTGTCACTGCAGGCCGTTTGAATGACACAAACTGGCTGAGCGGGCCTAAATATCTGTACACACCGGAGACCAGTACCTCAGAGAGCATCCATGAACTTGTGGACCCGAGTGCAGACTCAGACATTCGCTCTCTGGTATCCACTTTGAGCACTACGACAACATCCAAGCAGCTCGGCTCTCAGCGATTCGCAAGGTTCTCATCCTGGAAGTCGCTAACTCGGGCCATTATTCGCCTCATACACATAGCTTGCCTTTTCAACAAGACTTTGAAGAACAGCCCTTGTAAGGGCTGGCATCACTGCAAAACAGTATTCAATTTTGAGGAGTCTAATCAAGCGTCGCACATCATCATTCGAGCAGTAAAGGAGGAAGCCTACAGTCAAGAGATCAAATGTGTCCAAAAACATGAGCAGATCCCTAAAGGTAGTCCTCTCAAAAATCTGGATCCTTTCATTGATGCA